ACAAAAGGGACCAGATGACTGCAATATGAGTTGTGGTCAACCCCATTGATGAAGAGCCACTTTTAAACTCCAGCTAAGCAGTTTTATACTCTGAAACAAAAGGGACCAGATGACTGCAATATGAGTTGTGGTCAACCCCATTGATGAAGAGCCACTTTTAAACTCCAGCTAAGCAGTTTTATACTCTGAAACAAAAGGGACCAGATGACTGCAATATGAGTTGTGGTCAACCCCATTGATGAAGAGCCACTTTTAAACTCCAGCTAAGCAGTTTTATACTCTGGAGCTCTATTGCTGGAAGGGGGCAAGAAGCCTCATACCTCATCAGAGAACCCTGTAGGTGATGAGAAATCATCCCATGACAACCTACCAGAGGGATAGGAATTGAGAGATGGCCTCCCATCCTCTCATGTTCCAGGAGGATCACAGAGTGTTCTCCAAAGACTCGAATTAGTTATAGTTCAAACACCTGCCTATGTGGCTTATTTGAACCCTGCAAAGCCGCCAAGATGACATGGCAGAGCTGTTCATCTACAGTTCCTTGGCTTGTGGGATAAGGCTACCATACTGCAGAAAGCTAAGAGGAAACTACTAAATGGCTTCCCCAGCCATCAACTAAGATAGTAAATCATGTCCTCAGAGGAATGGCAGAGATTAGCACAACCCTTAAAGACCTGATGGTTTTCACCAGTATGTCTCCTGCAAAAACCAGACAGACCCAGGAGGTTGACAACAAACTACTGCAAATTCAACCAAGTCGTAGTCTCAGTTGCACCTGGAGTATCTTTACTAGAGTAGATTCACAAGACCTCAGGCAAGTGATATGTGGCCATTGATCTGGCAAATGCTTCTTTTCTATCACTATCAGGAAGGAGGGCCAGAAGTCGGAGTATTTATTTACAGTCTTACTACAGGCATAGGACCTAAATAAGAATAATATATCAAGGCATGAGGACCAAAATAAGGAAGAAGTGCATGGAGAGGCCTCAAGGACAAATGGAAAGATGGAGAGATAAGATCCCAAACAGAGCAAAGCGACAACAGATGGAACTTGTATTCAGATTTCTGACAATCAGTTCATATGTTAGGACGACAGTCATATGTCACCTAGCTACAGTGATACATTCTGAGAAATGCATTGTTAGGTGATTTCATCATTGTGCAAACATCATAAAGCATGCTTATACAAACCTAGATGGTATATAGCCTACTTCACACCTAGGCTATATGGTATAGCCATTATGATCTTATGGGACCACTGTTACATATGCAGTCCCTCATCGACTGAAATGTTGTTATGCAACACATGACTCACACCTAGGCTATATGGTATAGCCATTATGATCTGATGGGACCACTGTTACATATGCAGTCCCTCATCGACTGAAATGTTGTTATGCAACACATGACTGTATACCTAATTGAGGGAATAAAAGCTTTAAAAAAAAAATGCCAAGATAAAGCAACTTCACAAACTCCTTCTATGCTGGAATCCCATCAGTATAATGGAATGTATTTTTTAATGGAATGTAGACCATTAAAAATGATCACCAATATTCAGTGTTGCTCTCTGAGGAATGAGTAAATTCTCCTGCCCTGCTGAACTCAGGAATGGCCATATGGCTTGTTGGCCAACGAAATAGGAGCAGAATTTGAAACATGTCACTTCCACGCAGCCACTTTAAGAGCTAGCTTCTCTTTCTCTATGATCATGGCAGCATGTATCAAGATGGAGCATCTATCAGCCTTGGTCCCTCTGTAACAGAACAGGAATCATGACTTATCTTTTTATTGCCAGTGCCTGACATAATGCCTGGAACAAAGTAGATGCTTATAGATAATTATTGATCCATTACATGGGGAATAAAATTTGACCTCACTTGCAAATAGAGGGTAAGCTACACAAGGGCAGGGACCATGTCTGTCTTCTCACTACTGTATCCCAAGACCTGAATGAGGGAGTCTCCAGAGAACTTTCATTTGCTCTGGGGTCCACCTGCACCCCTTAACAAATATTCAGTGTGCCAATTTGTGCCAGGTTAAGACATCACACACAGTTGAAACTTGAAGTATTTAGCCAAGTGCCCAAATTACTTTCAATTTCAATAAAAGGCTCATGAATGACAGTGTTTTAGAAAAAGTCAAACTTGGGGAGATTCATTCATTGGACAAACAACACTATGCACTGCCTCTAACAACGCAACGGGTCCAGGCAATCAGTGCAATTGTGTGAGGGTTTTTGTTGTTGCCATTATGTTTACACCTCACTTATCACGTAGGTACGGGTACCCCAACCTGCCTTAGCAAGCCAACTGCTTGTAACCCAGTACTCCTGTGTCCCAACACGCAGAGCAATGATTTAGTTTGGCCTCCTCTGACCCCAGGCAGCTACACCACCACTAGAGAGAATGAAGACGGGAAAGTTCGAGAGGAAAAACCGGGCCTAAGCTTGGGGTTTGTTTTACTGAAGTCTGCTAAAACCGGTGGGGGTTGGAAGGGCTGAAAGGAGAACAGAGCTCAAGTCGCAGTTCGTATAACTTCGTATAATGTATGCTATACGAAGTTATTACGAGAGAGACTAACCTCCTCATTACCGTAATAGGATTTCCCACCCTATTAACACTGTCACAGAGGACGTCAAGTTTGGGAGGGGACACTCAATCCAAGGCAAACCATATCTCCAAATACAGTCACATTCTGAGTATTGGGGGTTAAGACTTCAACATATGAAGGGAGGGTGGGTAGTTGCGGTTGGGGTGGGGGGACACAATTCAGTCCGTAACACCAGACAATGCTGATGTTGATACTGTTGGTCCAGCAGACAATAACGAGTTCCCGGGAATTCCTTCCAACTCCAGGAAAACTCCAGTAAGGGTGGGGCAAGTGGAGGAGTAGACGACAGCCCGCCGTCACCCGCCTCTCCGAACTCAGGATCTCGAGAGAGCTGTAGCTCTCGCGATCTTTCAGGTGCCGCTCCTCCACGCGGTGGCCGACGGCGTGTGCTGAGACCAGAGGGCCGGGAGGGCGGAGACTGTGAGGGAGGGAGAATCCCCTTTGGCCTGTCGTACGGAAGCCTGCGAGGGACGGTGGTGTCCACTACCCCGTTTCGTGTCCCGATGCCCAGCGCCAGCGCCGGCCGCAAGAGTCAGGAGAAGCCGCGGGAGATCATGGACGCGGCAGAAGTGGGTTTCCTCCTTCCCCGGTCTTGGGAGGACAGAACCCTGGGCGGGACCGCGCTGAGGGAGGTAGTAGGGTGAGCGGGGCCCTGTTATCGGAGTCTCTGTCCGCACTTTCCCTGCAGGTCGCGTGGTCAAACCCACTCCGGACCGCATTTCTCACAGGGTCGCCTTGGAGTCCTGGTCTACAAGTAGCTTGTCCCCGGGGTAGGGTGGACGCGAAGGACCAACTACCCCAGAAGTAGGAGCGGTGGAGTCACATTTAAGCTTCTCTGGGCTAGGCACGTCCTGCACGTAATGCACCCCTTCCCCCCCACCCCCGGCAAATTTAATAACCACTAGTAATCGATATGTTCTCAGCCCTCGTGTTCCTAGTGTTTTGGCAGGTAATGACACTACTCTGTAAAACCTTCTGCCATTATGTTTAATGACCATTTTCCATGTGACAGCTTTAAAGAACACAGGTCATTTTTATTTGCTTTCAGTCTCTCAGTGACCCAAGTGAGGTAGGTAGTGAAGGTTGCGGAGAATGCATTTGAGATAAAGTGACCCAGAATCACGTGGGTAATTCATAACACCCAGGGATCCTTCACAGCTTTTCAGAAAGTAAAGTTTGAAATCATTCCACAAATTATGTGCGCTGTATAATTCTTGAGCCGCTCCTAATTTTTCTATTTAGGAATTATGAATTTGTTGTAGTTATATAACGAATAGGTCATCTCAGAAAACTAAATAGAATAAGGGTTGCTGAAATGTGAATAGTGCTCGTTAGAATGGGTAACACCTTTTTTTGTCTTCTCACACCTTAACCTATTTATTCTGCCCTCAGGCTTCATTGTGTGACTGGATCTTTCTACTCTGGCCAGAGTTGTCTGTCCTTAAAGTGTATTTTACATTATAAAAAAAGAAAAAAAATTGTTCAGTAAGCACCTTAACCTGTCTGTTTTATTTTGGTATAGACACAAAATCCAGTATCCTCCAGACCTAAAGGAAAGGATTCCAACAGTAGCTGTAGAGTGACAGAAACAGATTGTTTCATACAGATCTTAAGTTACCTTGTAAAAATCTAAGGAAATTACTTTTGTGTATTCTTGACCTTTATTATACAAGCTAGCAGTGCACCCTTTGCAGACAGCATAGGCCTAGATATAAGGTAAAGATTGTGGTAGAGTTGTGTCATAACTAGAAGGATCTTGATATTGTTTTAGAGATAAAGTAAGATCAAAATAGAAGGACACTTACCTGTGTAGTCCCAGTATAGTTTGCTGATAGTCTGGACCCTAGGTCTCCTGTTTCCTGTTCCTTACTTTAAGCCTGTAACAAGAAATTTGATATTATTGTTACTGTTGAGCCCTTGTAACCTGGAATCCTGAAGCTGGATTTTGGAAACAGGAAGCTGGTGAGTTTTTTGAGGATTTTTTTTTTTTTTTCCTTTTTTTTTTTTTTTTTTTTTTTTTTT